TTTCGGATTGTTTACCCTTCATTTAAATATTGAGGATCATATTTGGCTCAAATTGAGGCTCAAATAAAGGAATTTGAGTCTCATGGGGCTCAAAATTGCTCCACCTCATCTAAAGAAGTGTAGCATCACCGTAAATTGTAACCAGTTTATAATTCCAGTGTAAATGCAGTGGACTTTTCTGGCAGAGAGCCATTAAAAGCAATATACACACTGTAAAAAAGACAACTCAAAATTTTTCACCTTACTAAGATTTTTGCATTCACTGACAAAAAAATTGCAAGTTGGAACTTGAACTGTATGTTGTGAGCCACTTGAACTCACTTTCAGAAGTTACTGATGAAAAGTTCACCTTATTTGATAAATTAAGTTGATTTTACTTTGAAGTTGTAGTTGTCAACGACAACTTCAAAGTAAAATCAACTTAATCAACTTCTGAAAGTGAGTTAAAGTGGCACACAACAGACAGTTCAAGTTCCAAACGGCAATTTTATTGTCAGTGAATGCAAAAATATTAGTAAGGTGAAAAATGTTGAGTTGTCGTTTTTACAGTGAGAGTGAGGTCAACTTATCTGCGTTGAATCGGCGACATTCAACATTTTGAATAAACTAAATTGACCAAATAAATCATTGTATTTATTTTTACCAACCCGTAATCGACAGGGCCAAGCCAAAGTAGCCCTATATAATCCCTGGGTCATTCTTTTAAAATGTTCTAACATAAATCAAAGGTCAATGTGACTGAAACCATTACTTGACAAAAACTAAGCTCTAATTGAGTTGAAAGCATTATTGTTTCTCAATCTGAGAGTTATGGAGTCCAGAACCTTAAGATTAATACAGTATATGACTGTCGAATGAACTTGTATTGTTATGTTACTGGGGGGCGACAGTAGCTCAGTTGGTAGAGCATTGGCCTTAAGCCCAGAAGGTCGTGGGTTCAATTCCCACCTCTGCACCTTCTCCACCGACTCCCACTGATGACTGCTGTCGTTGTGTCCTTGGGCAAGACACTTAACCCCACTTTGCCCAAAGCCCCCACTGAAAGATCAAGGCTATGCTCACACTCAGAGAGCAGCCGTCCTCCTGTGGACTCACCACCTGCAGAGGGTCAGTGAGGGGCTGGTGCTATGAGACTTGGGTGGCATCTCTGACTGCCACCCCCCTGACCCAGAAATGGATTAAAGGGTAGAAAATGGATGGATGGATGGATGTTATGTTCATGGCATTTATAAAACTAAAACGGATTAGTACAAACAATGTGTAAGTTAGTGTAGTGACCTAATGAGTGTTAATAAAGACTGTGTTTAATGAACTTATATTGCTATGTTTATGTTATTATCCCTACTATTCAGGTTTACAGTATGTGTGGCATGGTGGCTGAGTGGATAGCACTCGAATCCCGTTCGGAACAGGGCCTTTCTGAGTGGAATTTGCATGTTCTCTGTGTCTGCATAGGTTTCCTCCGGGTGCTCCGGTTTCCCCTACCCAAGTGACTAACTTTTTTGTTGTTACAGTGCACAGCCCCAAGGGTCGTTTGGGCTTTAATACTTTTGTTTAGTCTTTTCATTTTCTATAATTTTCTAAATTAATTTATTGTGATGTTTTGTGTTTTCTACATTACAGAACTCTTACTTTTCCTCTGATGACCTTCCTCCTGTCCATATATGGGCGGCAGGCTCATGGACAGTTGTGGTTTTGATGGATGTCATCGGTCGGAACTGCATCCCCTTCCTTCCTCTTTCTCCTCCGGTTTGACTCATGATCATTCCTGTTTAATAATGCTGATCTAAGAACTGCAATTCAAATAAATCAAAATTCTGAAATCTATCTTCAGGGAACACAGATGGGAAGTGAAATCCTTTGGAGACATGTACACTGTAAAAACTAAAAAGTTAGTTAAACTCAAAATTTCAAGGCAACTGGCTGCACGCGACTTTTGAGTTGAAGGCATCAACTTAATTCTTTACGTTTTGAAGAACTACTATCATGAAGTTGTATCAGCTAAGTGCTTCTAGTTCTGCCAACTACGTTTTTGTTATTCAAGTTACTGGAACTTTCAAGTCTGTAAAAACTTACAATTTTAAGTTCAGGTTACCGTCTCCTGCAATAACTTACTATTTTGAGTTTAAATTACTCACCACATTAAATCATCCTGTTTCATCCTCATGTGCAGTTACAGTAGCTTTTACAGACCAAGGTCACTTGGGTAGGGGAAACCGGGGCATTTTAGTCCTACCATGCCAATACCACATACAAATACAGTTGTACAGATGTTACTATTAATGGGACATTTAATCATTCATCAAAGCATCAAAATATTAAGCGCTCTTATTGAGAAAAATAGATTGCATCGTAACTTATTTTCCAGGTTTGCTTCAATGGACAATCGCATACCCGATTTCTTTCACGATAGCACAAGTGACAATATGTTTGAACTAGGGCTGTCAAACAATTACAATTTTTAATCGAGTTAGTTACAGCTTAAAAATGTATTAATCGTCATTAATTGCATTTCAAACTATCGACAATATGATGCCATATTTTTCTGTAAATGGTTGTTTGTTAGGAAAGATAAATGACAGCATAGTGTGCATATGTACTGTATATGTTTATTATAACAATAAATCCATATAAAATGGCATTAACATTATTAACATTCTGTCTTTCTGTTTAGACTCTTCTGTTTAGACCAAAACTATTGTTTGTTACAGATGAGGGACATTTCAAAACAGTCTGAGGCAGAATGTCATTACATCTGTTTGATTTGTTTGAACTGGTAGTGGAAGGGAAAATTAGGTACCCCAGCTTTAATTTAGAGAGTGCGCTTCGGGAGGAGACACGGAGGAGACTGAGTCCCAGCTTAAACGCTGTATTTATTGTGTGCACGGGTTACGCAAAGACACGCACATTTCAAGTAGAGAAAAGTTCTGTACGTGTATGGTTTTGGATGATGTTCCAGCAGCGCCGTTGAACTCCTGTCCAGAGCGCCCGCAGCTCAGCTTGCAGAGTTATACAGGGAACAACAGCTAAAGTGCCTCGCAGTCACGTGTGTATTCTTGTAAAACGTGGATTCCCAGAGGGCCTACCTGCTCTGTCACCAACACACGCATGTGTCCGCGGCATTCTGAGTGTTATTATGGGATGCATGGGCATGTGTTAATCGCGTTTCAACACGATTAATGAAAATAATTAATTAATGTGCGTTAACGCGATAATTTTGACAGCCCTAGTTTGAACACAGGGAAAAGAGTACAACTATTTATTCAACCTATCCAGAGCGACTGTCAGAGGAGGAAAATAGCTACACTAACAAACTGGAGCGAACCAGGATACAACAAAAGGGGGGTGCCAGAAGAACCACAACAACATATCTCTTCAACACCAAGTGTGAGGTTCTCTTTCTACTTAAGATGAAAATACTTTTGGTTATTCTGGGCGTTTAGATTGTGTACCCGATACAGCCTTTTTACATTTCTTGTTGCACATCTCCTCCACCTGCTGCTGTTTGTCTGAGTGGTGATGCCAACTGTAAACTGTGCTGATAGAAAATAATCTTTAGTAGGCTTGTGGTTAGTGTATACCACGTTAAAAATGAGTGCTTCATTGGTTATGATTATAACTTTCTCTGTATTTAATAAATTATTACAAACAATACAATAGTATCATAATTACTAAATTAAACCTCATTACAATGGATTTAGCGGGGTTAGCATGTTAGCAGAACAACTTTTCTGGTGATGACCCGCTTTTTGCGAAATGGTCCATACAATAAATACGTTATTGTCCATCCATCTATCCATTGTCTTCCCCTTAATCCATTTCTGGGTCGAGGGGTGGCAGTCAGAGCTGCACCCAGTACACATAGCACCAGCCCCTCACTGATCTTCCTGCAGGTGGTGAGTCCACAGGAGCCTTGATTATTCAGAAGGGGCTTCAGGCAAAGTGGGGTTAAGTGTCTTGCCCAAGGACACAATGACAGCAAAGATCAGTGGGAGTCGTGAAGTGGGTCTTGGGGTGGGCTCGAACCCTCAACCTTCAGGCTTCAAGGCCAATGCTCTACTAACTGAGCCACTGTCGCCCCAATATATGTTATTGTTTTTCTTTAAATTTACATCAGTTTGGGGTAAGTCAGTAAGTAATCTTTTTCAGTATAGCGCCTTTCATAGACCAAGGTCACACAAAATGAGCTTTACTCTATTTTAGCAACCTAATGTTTGTCCATTCACACACAGTGATGACAGAAGACGCATCAAAGCCTCTGATCAACACCCTCCATTCACTCATTTGTTACATTCTGACCTGTTGTACATATTTTAAGTAGTAGGAAACACAGGAGCACCAGGAGGAAACCGACACAGATGCGGGGAGAATATACAAACTCTACACAGAAAGGCTGGAACAAGTACTTTCCTCAATTATGGATGATTTTGGTGCTTTTGGACTTTCCTCTCCAAAGTTATGATCTATAACTCAGGAGAAAATAGTCAAATGCTTGTTTCCATAAAAAAAGGAATGTGTAATGATAAGCCAATGATGGGTTGATTACGCACGTTACTTTGGAGGGCCCGGACTGAAAAGTTTGAGCACCCCTGGGCAACATAAAGTTTATAGTTTCACGACTGAGGGGGCAACACAGTAAGGATATAATTTACGTTTGTTTCAGTAGTTTATTCCTACCACACCATATCGTACTCATTTCATTTTCGTACTTGTAGGGAAGTGTTAATTGACTGGAGTTTACTGATGGCTAAGGCCAGGCTAGTCCAACAGTGGTCCCCGGAAACACTTTTACTCTGACTAAAATGACTCAATGAACAGAAGAAACCAAAGTTGCGTAACTTACCCAGAAATTGTCTTTTGCAATCATTTTGAGGATATCTTGTTATCCGTTACCTTTCTCCGGTTCTGCTTTTTGTTAGCTTAAATATGTCCAGTTTTGTCAAGGGAAACCAGACATTACTCCACAGCTCATCCAGAGAAACCCCCAGAGCAAAGACAAGATGTGCTGCAGAAAACTTGCCCTCTTTGCTATTTTAGCTGGAGTTCTGATTATTGTCGTCGGGGCAACTGGTAAGAGAAATTATATACTAGTTCATGTCTGAATTTGAACAATGTTTTACTATAATCTCCATGTTTTTGCAACAGACGAAAAGATTATCAAATGCTGCACACGAGTCAGTATCGCCAACGTTACCGCTCCCATCCTCGGCTACAGGATCCAGAGGAAGAACTTGCCCTGCATCCGTGCTGTGATGTAAGATACAAATTATTATGATATATACTTTAAAGACCATTATGTTTATCTAAATTCCACTGTCCTCGTTCAGATTTAAGACGACAGAGGGTGAGATCTGCAGCCACTTGAAACAGGACTGGGTGCGCAGCAAGATTATGGAGCTTGGGTAAGTATACAGACAGAGATAACATGAATATTATGAAAAGTATTGATTTATTTCAACTAAAGCTAATGTTGTGTGTATTTTTTAACAGGCAGAGCCACCAAGCCAAGATGAACGCTATTGTATCAACTACTGCATTAGCTACTGCATCAGCTACTGCATCAGCTACTGCATCAGCTACTGCATCAGCTACTGCATCAGCTACTGTATCTTCGACCTCAGTAAAAAGGCCATAGAAGAAAACTCTTTTACTGAGGGTTTTTATAATGTTGGATTTAACTTAAATATTTAAAAGCGTGAGGTGGAGAATATTTATTATTTATTTTCAGTTGTATTTATTTAAATTACCACAATTTTATACTGTTATTTTCCCTCACAAATAAATGCGACCATTTACATATAAAATGTGTTTGCTTTTTTTATTTTCTTCAACATGTTTAGCGTCATTTAAAATTATAACTGCAATCTAGTGGAGGGCAAAGCAAGTACTTACATTTTCAGTTCAATTACAAAAATACACTTTTTTATTAATCAACAGATGTCATTGTATGCATATAATTGCTTTTTAAACAAAAGTATATGAGCTGTTGAAGTTATTGAAAAAAAAGAGTGAAGTTTTGGGAACTTTCTGTGGTTCCAGAAACTGGCAAAGGTGACTTTGTTTCTGTAGTCTGGTGAACTTTAGCCATCTTCTTCCTTTGATCACAGTGAGAAAAAAAGAATTCAAATAGTTATTATCATTATATTTGAAAATATATAAAAGTAAAGATGTCTTTATTACCGTAGCCTTTCCAAAACTCTTTGCACCCAGGCATCACTTTCACTTGCACAAATCTGTACATTTCTCACTGTATGGAAGCTAAAGAAATCCAAATAAGGACACATTAGTCATAGTATTAGTAGTAAAGTACATTATTTATATTTTCTAGATAATACACAGCTTAAGAAAATATAGTTAAAGTTCTACAATCACAACAAAGTAACATATGAAGTGAAAGCAAAATGATGCATGTTTTTTGTATTTCATATTTTAACTGAAAAAGTGGGGCCTGTATTGATGTGCCGGGCGGCACGGTGGCTGAGTGGATAGCACTCTCGCCTCTCAACAAGAAGGTCCTGGGTTCGAATCCCAGTTGGACCAGGGCCTTTCTGAGTGGAGTTTGCATGTTCTCCCCGTGTCTGCGTAGGTTTCCTCCGGGTGCTCCGGTTTCCCCTACCACTAAAAATATGAACAATAGGTCTGGCATGTGCCTCCTGTACTGGCACCCCCACCCAACAATTGTAAACCGCTTTGAGACTCCGATGTGCAGTGAAAAGGCGGTATATAAATAAAAGCTTACTTACTTACTATGTGAATACTTTGTGGAACCCCGTCATGCTGCACTCTGGACGGCAAGTCGTTTGGGGTATGACTCTGTAACGTATTTTGTTTTCAACCATTTGATTGCATGAAAAGTCTTTATGTTTATGGAAAGAGTCCTGTAGGTAAACATCCCAGTCTCAAGTCTGACTCCAGCAGCTTCTCTTCCAAAAGATTCTCTCATGAGTAAACGTTAACACAAATACTAACGCATAAAGCCTGGGTTATTTTGTAAGCCCATCAATTTGCTTTCACTTCACCCTTGTCTCTCAGTTACAGGTCGTTCACATAACAAAAACACGTGTTTGAGGTCGTGGTGACAAAATGTGGAAGAGTTCATGGGGTAAGAATACTTGTTTAAGCCACAGCAACAATATTCTGTATCAACCGTGTACAGTAAAAGAGTCATTTTGATGCATTACATGATGGCATCGAGGTTACAGTTTTCCAGTGCACTCTGTCTTTTATAGCCTCGTATTCGGTGGAAGGGGACAGGGCTCCGTGTGAATCTTGTACAACAATATAGGGCCCCAGAAGCAGCTGCAGCACAAAAGCACAATGTCAGAGTCAATACACCTCGATGCATTTCACTGTAGGTATTACAACAGAAACATTTAACAGCAGGAGGAGAATAAAAAGTTCATACATTGAACACTGATTGAACTGAACTAGAACTTTAAATATAAGTAACATTCCCAAAGGACAGCTCCACAACTACTTGTCACTCCTCATTATTATAAAGCATGCTATTTATGGTTATAAACTCACCTTTTCCTCGGCCAGCGTTGACCATCACCAGGCAGATGAGAGCAGTCGCCACGGTGACGGCTCCTCTGAGAGTCATGATGAATCTAACAGAACTGTTGCTCCGTTTGTATTTATACTCCACGATGCTCCTCGGGGTTTCTCTGTGGCTCCTAAATTGGGGACAGGAAGTTGGATATTACATCATGGAAATAATGTACTAATTTACCAATCAACAGGACATGAAGTACAGCAATGCAGTATTTTATATGTTACAGTATATAACATACATATTTATATTTCATTATATTTTATCTATATTTAATGTGGATGGTTTTATTTAGAAACTAGTTTACAACCTGTTTAATACACTTGTAGTATGTTCATGTCATTGTTTATTATGTGCTTATTTATTGTATTGATTACATGCTCTGCTATGTTATGCTCTGGTTCTATATCACTGATGCTTGAGGTCTTTGTGTTTAGATTTTTACCTTATCAGCAATTTTGATATTGTTGTGGTGAGAGAGATGAGGTGAGATAGGTTTCACTCCCGCTGGTGGTTTGACCTATTTAGTCTGCAAAGCGCTGACGTCTCTAGATGTAGCTGACCTACAAAGACGTCGCCTATGGTGTAATTAAAAAAATAGGATACTTTAAAAAAAAAAAAAAAATCTATATATATTTATATATATATATATATATATATATTTTTTTTTTTTTTGTAGTACAGTGTTTTGTGGATATACATTAAGTAATGTTGTCTATATCAATACTTTTTTGTGTCCATCATCAGCTTCAAACTAGCTGTGTTTTGAAATGTGGTTTGTGTGTGTGTGTGTGTGTGTGTGTGTGTGTGTGTGTGCGTGTGTCTGCGTGCGCGCGCGTGTGTGTGTGTCTGTGCGTGTGTGTGGAGAAGGGCCAGGCTGGTAAGGCAAATCACAGCTGTTGTTTTAATGCTTTCCGCCAGAGGGTGGCGATGTTGCAGCAGGCCACTTCCCTCCAGGACATGGAGCTGGACATAATAAAGATTAAAAGGGCTCAGTGCACTTATCATTTCTACCTGAAGCACTTGTCACATCACATCTTCATTATTGAATAACCGTATGTAGCCTTCACAAATGTACAACTAAACCTGCTATGGCCAGTTTTCACCAGTTTCTAAAAGGCACAGGCTGGTGATTTGCATGAGAAGGTTTAAAACAGATGCATTTCTCCATTAACACAGGCAACAAACAGCTCATTCAGCTTTGTGGTCAGCTTGAGAACCAAAGCACCACATTCTAACATCAACCATCAGAAAGAAACATCTAATGTGGTTTAACAAAGTGGTCCAAAAACGTGTTTTTAACACATCTAAGATTGTTAACTGTGATAAAACAATAGTGAAATACTATTATTAATTCTTTCGGCATGACGACTAGCTTTATGGAGTTAAACAGAAGACAATAGAGGCTCGAACATTGATCGGCACAGTGTATTTTACATGCGTGTGTTCCCTACAGTTATTATAAAAAACACATTACTATTCCAACTGCTAAAGGGAGTGGCTCTCTGCTGAAGTATCCAATGCAGCACTTCTCCAGAGTGCTAGCTTAACCATTACACCAGTGCCTTTATGTCTCTATACTTGCACCTGTTTCAGAGCACTGAGATAAATATTTGCCCCTATTTTCTTGTTGTAGCAGTTTACAAAATGAAGTGGCATTTGCATGAGGGTGGGAGTGAGGCGGACCTTTCCTCCTCTTTTGGGCTCTGCTTTTGGGGGGTTGAAGGCACAGGGAGGGGGTCAGTATTGAGTTGTCCACCCACTCGAGAACCCCTCCGGTCACCTGCGTGGGTGTACGCCAGAAAGGAAGGAGAAGAAATGCACCAAAGGACAAAAAAAAGAGCATATTTGTTTGATTTCTGTTTATGGGACAGACTGGCATATAGATTTCAACTAATTGGGCAACAGCGAATGATGATTTCAAAGAGAAACAACAAATGACTTGCACTGTCCAACATTACACTTTCTTCTGTCACAGAGTACTCTAGTGATTTATATGCAGAACAACACAATAGAAAGAAGCGCACGGACGAGAACAAAACCACTTCCTAACCCCAAATGTCAAGCACGGTGCAAAAAAACCCACATACGTTTTAAATGAGTCGAAATTTCCCTCTTTCTACGGAAAAGTGGTGGGACACATAAAAGCACACCGCAACAAAGGCAGCAATGGAAGCTGGTGAAAGGCAAAGGCTCTCAAACACTTGGCTGTGAAGTGATTTAAAAAAAAAAAAAAAGAAATAGTGTAGTTTATCATAATTAGCATCTTTCCAGACTGTCAGACCTGTGAAGCGAACCAAACAATGCCTGCTTTACTTTATTGGAAAGTTAATGGCTGGATGTATAGTTGAAAGAGACCAGTAGATTTGGTTCTTCACTTGGCGCTCCTCCTACATCCCATCTGCCCTGTGTCCAGAGTGTGGGTGATGCTGAATAGTCGGCTTGTTGGGGGAGGAAGGAAAATATTATTACAGGAGATTTTTTTTTTTTGAGCAAAACTTGTGATGTAACCGAGTTGGGCTGCACAACAGAAACATCTTCGGATTCGTTCCAAGCAAAACATGAAAAGGGGGAAAATATAGACTCGGACCTTGTACGACTTGTGGAAGTGCCCAGAGGTAGTAGAGTCTGGCAGTGTTATCTGGGTAGAGTCATCCAGGAGAGGTGAGATGATCTGAGCAGAAGAGATAGAAAAAAGGCTATTTTTAGGATGGTCTGGTATCTGTGGAGAGGAGGGTAAAAGAGTATCAGTGCAGGGTCAACAGCGCTGAAGGGAAAAAGGCGCTTCAAGGCTTTTCCGTGAGGTGTATGAGTCGGCAGAGCTGCTCAGTGGGTGACCTGTGTTGCACGAGGCTATCGCCACAAACACAGGAACTTCACACTTTGCTCTCACACATGTATGCATCACAGAAAATAAAAATATACACAAGGGTTCTGACTGAACAATGTGAAAAGGCCATGCTGGATCGATAAAATCATCACTCATCGGTTGTTTTAGCTGACGATTGCAATGTTGTCAAATGTGGAGAATAGTGCATGAAGTGGAACGTTAAACATGGTTCGACACGTCAACTTCTCTGCCCTTTATGTGTCCCTTATGTCAATTAACCAAAAATAAACAATAGTTTAAAGGAATCATTATGTAAGATTAGATGTTCTGAACTTTTTGTATACAATAATGCTGTATTATTATAGATATTGGCCATGATGCATTTAGATTTTATTTCCCATCTCCAGCTGATTATCTAATCAGAAAGCAGGATTAGAGTTAAGAGCAAGTTGCCAGTTTCAATATTAAAATCTCAGCCGCAGCTATGGCCGCACATAGAGGTAATGTCATTTATTTCAGCATTAGCAAAAAACTTCACAGCAAGGCAGTTTAATAATCGGTATACCGACAAGAAAAGTAGCTCTTCTCATAATCTCTTTTTATCCTAATGCTTTTTATGATTTTGTTAAGCACTTTGAGTTGATTTCTGCATGAACTGTGCTATATAATTAACTTGCCTTGCATGATTATTAGATTATTCTGAGTCAGAGAACAAAACCCCCCGAACTTGAGTTCTGTAAAAACCCAGACTTTGTTCAGACCAAATGTTTTGCTAACTGCAGAAAATCTTTTATACTGTACACCTTCTTTCCGGTCTTTCTTTGCTCTGGCTGCAGCTTTCTGAAATGCCAGCAGAACAGATGGATGGAGAGAACATCTCATCACTCCAGCTCAGTGTTTATGCAATCGCACAAAGACGCCAGCATGCAAACACATCTCCAAAAACACACAACCCCACTCACATGCACTCAAAGCACACGGCTGTCATAGATTTATTCAGTCGACAAAACGTTGTTGGTGTTTTGGTGGCTTGGAGGAAACCTTCTGTTCGCTTCTTCCTTTGTTGGTACTGTAGAGACATGTGCGCATAAACACTCATTTGAGTCGACTGAAGCAGCTGCTAAATAAGCTGGGAGCTGATCAAAATGTCTCAGCCATGTTAATGACACCGTGTCTGTTGAAGAAGTTTGACCACTCGGCACCCCGACTGAGAATACATGAATATCATTTGTATTAGAAATGTAATGCAAATATATATGTCTAATGCTCGGGATATGAAATTGTTTTTTCAGTGGCACAGCTCTGTGTTGGACTGAAAACCAAATGAAAAGTCTCACTCCAGGAATATCTTAATGAGGCTTCGAGGAAAGCTCCGTTTTCCAACATCCAACAGCCCCCTCTGTGCGCCGCCACCCACCCGCCCAATCACATCCACGCTCATCTCTCTTCTCTGCTTCTTTTGTTCGTTTCTTTCAGCCGCCCACACACCTACCGTCCCTTGGGCTTTTCTTCTTTACACTTGCGCAGTTGCATTTGGCTACTTTGTGTACTTTCTTTATTTCTTCTTCGTGTCCACTTCACTGTCTTGATCATTGTGCGGCCTTTGAAATCCCCACATATTAAGGCGTACAAATAAAAACACACAAACATCAACAGACTGTCCTATATGTACTAATACACAATGCAGATGTGTGGGCAGCTGCCATCTGGGGCCTCCCAGCAGGACAAAAGTGTGTGTTGAAGTCGTGTTAGGCCAGGGACCAGGCAGTGGCTCAGCGGCGATGAGGCCACAACATCCAAACCCCCTCTCGAGCGTGCGGATCCTCAGGGGAGAGTGGGAAAACATCTCGATGGTCATCAATCAAAACTTCGGTGACACAAATGACCAGAAACAACGAGACCATTCTCCATCCATGTCACCGTCATCTCCGCCCAACAGCCTCGCCCCGCCCACCTGCGCCGCCACGCCATTGGTGGACGTGCTACGACGCCGTACGGGATTGGTCCGTTCCTCCCTTGGCGAGATCGTAATCCCATTTTGGCTAATTGGGTCTTTGTCAATGCGCGGTCTTTCGTGAAGATGGCGGAGAATGAAACACGAAAACGGTATTATGGTGTACGCGGAGAGTGGCAGGTCAAAGTGGTGAAATGGTTTTTTGGCGGCACTCGTTGCCAGATGCTCTTCCTGGGTCTATTATGATGCCTAACAGGGGATCGAGATGGTTTCGGCGTAGCAACTACAAGACACAAAGCGAGATGGAGACGGCTGTATAGTGAGCCTTACAGAAATATACCTCTAAAGGGCAGCCATACTATTAGAATAAACACTAGAAACAAAACGCTGCAACTCACAAGTCAAATATCATCAAAGCCACCAATTATTTGACATAAAACATTGTAAAATTATGATGGGACATTTGCGAGCACGTAGTTTAAAAGACCTAGAAAGAGCTTGTGTTATTATTGCCAGCAGACCATCATGTCACAGCAAAAGAAAATGTTTCTTCTTCAAGCTGTGCCGAACCTAAAACAATTGTCCTTTAAAAAGCAAAGTGTAGGAGGACTGTTCATGTGATGCTCTTTGTTTGATTCGTCACTCTTCGGGGCTTTGTTCTACTGACTTTTTGTTCACAGGCGCTGTCTAATTATTGAAATAATCTTGTTTTTTTTCTCGACTGGAGATATTATGATGAGATGGTGAGAGAATACTCCTTGAGTATACCTCCCCTTTAATTCTATGATAAAATTCAGAAATTATTTTTATTTTGTATTTGTTATAACCTAGTTGCCAACAGGCGGCGCTGCTGGCACACAGTTTGCTCCCAGGACAAAGGACCTGCAGTTGGGTGATCGGCCATAAAGACAAGAAGCCCCAGGCACAAGCTCTCCAACCTTTAAGCAGAGACACATCCTCATATTTTCTAATTCAGTAGACTGTCTTTGTTTGAGCTACAGGGAGATATTGCCTTCACTCTGCACAAATATCTCAAAGAGTTGAGTGTTAAAACGTACCTTGGCTACATCAGGTGTGAAGGCGCAATGTGCTGGAATGCAGTCAACGGTCTCTGCTGTTTAAAATAAGAATCGCAATTTTCTTTGGCAATTCTTTGTGTGTTGTTTTTGTTGTCTAGATTTGACTCAATTTCTTTTTGATCTGTTGTCTCCCTCATGTCATTCCTCATCTATGTTAAATGTGTAAAGGCCATTCCAGTGCACGCACCCAAGTCACCCTCGCTCATTAAATCATGAGTAACAAGATACCAGTTTTATCAGTGTTTCTGCGCCCCTAGGGATAAATGTCACTCGTCTGGTGTCATTTGAATTCACCACTAAACGCACATTGCACTGGGCGTGAGATCCCGCCCCGAATAGGCTCTCCTTCGCTGCATCCAAGGCGCTTCCTCACTTCATTCACACACGCACTCTGTTCCCACCGGGATGATGGTCGCGCCACCGCCAGCGCGCACAAGAGCGAACGGGAATTACGCACACTTCCATCAGGCACACATGGCTCACAATTGGAGAACAGTCTATACTTTTCTTTGGATTTACAGCACAGTGACCAGTGCAAGAACGAGGGTCTATCCTGCCAATGAAGGTAAGGAGAAATCCCCGTGTGAGGCATTCAAGAGACGTTTCCGTGTTGGGACACCGCTCTGTGATATGCGCGTCATGTGCGCTATAGGCACGGGGTCGAATTGAATTTGTTATTGTAGTTTGTTGAAGTTTTGTCCATTTGAATTGAACATGAATGTACTTTTGCGTTTCAGTAAAATACAGTCATATACAGTAAAGAGAGTCTATTCATGTACATTTGAGAATACGGTCGAGTTCATTATATATATATATATATACAGCCTATCCACACTGTGTCTAATGAAGAGCTAATTGAGTATTTTTTTTGTAATAATTCAGTTTTGAGATTAGGACGTACTGTTTGTTCAAAGAGATCTGCTATTTCTGTAATCAAGCTATGTGCTATGAAGAGATCATCTATTTCTGTAATAAAGCCATGTTAACATGTATTTTGGCACCGCTTCAAAATGATATGTTTGGCAGTGATGATCAAACACTGTGCTGGCTGTATATCCCTGATGCCACCTGCATATGTGTGCGTTTTAGTGACCCTGCTGGATACAAGGACAGCGCCAGGAGAACTGAAATGGGCAGCCAGTCCTTCAGAGGGAGGGGTGAGTGGGAGCCTCTTCTTTTTCTCTTTCTCTCTCTTTCTTGCATTTATTAATTTATTTCTGACAAACACGCAGTTTACAAACTGTTTTCTCTTTGGAAATAAATCACACTTGGTCTGGAAACAGCAAATAACCATCCCACAGAATTCGCCCAGCCTAAAGTGCTAATATGAGATTTCTGGCATTGTGTTTGGCACATGATAAAAGTAGCAAGCAGCTTGGTGGTGGGTGTGTTTTTTAAAATGTTTTGTTCCATACATTTGCCAAAAAGCATCACCAAAATATATGATCTCTTTTTTATCTTATTAGTGTATGTGCCATGCCATCTGTATATCATTGCTGCTGCTCTTGTAGGAGTTGGTGAATGAACTTGACTCTTCTTTCTTCTTCACTTTTCTTCAATCCTCATGCGCTCTTTCTCTCACATGCTGTTTGATTGACAGGGTCCTGGTCCGCACGCACAGAGCTTTTGATTACAGGCACCCCCCAGTCTTCGACATCCTTTAGCTTCACACACTTTTAGACCCGCACACCGACACCAGCAGCCATCCTCTCTGTGGTGCAGTTGGGGCAAGTGCATTGCTCCTTTTTCTTCTGACAGCTGTGATTTCAATCTGCTGACAAAGACTCCAAAGGGGGACCAGACAAGGAGCCATCAAGCTCTTTACACCAGTCTTCTCCATTACACAGGATCGCCCCTATAGATTAGACTCTATAGCCCATGCAGGATGCAGTACAGTACAGTCCAATGCTAAAGCTCATTATTGTGCTGATTAGGCTGATAAACAATATACAAAGAGCCATGTTATAATATAAGCTAGAAATAAGAAACTGACGACAGTCATGCTTCTGGCTGTTTTGCTTTCTAAGGCTTTAGGCTTCTTTCTATTCTTATAATTGGCATTTTTATTGTGACAATTACTTCAGAATGATATTTAAGAAACATATTCTAATATTGAAATCCAAATCTTTGCCACCCTGGTCTGGCTCAAACGACATTTCTCAAAAAATGTAAACAACTACAAAAGCCTTTCATTTGCCCTTCTGAATATAGTAGGGCATTGGTATAAGGAATTGATGGATTCATGGATTACATTATGGAAACCTATTAACCCTATTAACCCTTTAGGCGCCAATGTAGCAAAACTGCTAAATCCTGAAACGTAGACACTTTCTAGCGACTTGGATTTCCGCAAACGGTTCCCTTTCCTTACATCCTTTTGTTTATTTTTTATTTCCATGATTAATTTGAGTAGTTTTCTCTCACTTATGAAGATTCAGGGCTCCATCCAATTACATATAACATTTCAGTAAAAACATAAACGTTTACAGATAAATTGTGCAATTTATAGATAAAAATCTATATAATTAATTTGAGGCGGCAGCTGCTCAGTTGGAGTGTGTATCTTCCAAGCTGGAGGTTGAGGGTTCCTTTTCCTGACCTACACCATTGGTTGAGTGGTTCAGATCAGCTGAACGGTGTGAAACCAGCTCTTATTGGTGAATGCTGCCATGTGTCCTTGGGCAAGACATTTAACCCTGAGTTTTCCTTCATATATAGCGTTTTGAATGCCGTGAAAAGGTAGAAAAGTGTGATATAAATAATAATACTAATAATATTGTCATGGTGCTTGGAATCACTATTGGGCCTGAGCACATCAGACAATCAATCTCAATTTCTTCATGAACAAATTGCAAAGAGTTTAAAAGTGAAAGTTAACCAACTCATGCATTTAGAGTTAGCTGCAAATTTAACCAATAAGATTCAGCGACTTATCGATTCCGCCTGGTCATGAAGCCCCTCACACCACCCCCCCTCCTTTCAGTTCCACATTCTGTCACCGCGTGTCCCAGTGCCACTCTCCCTCTTTTGACACGCCACATTTAGAGTGTATACAACTCTCACCAGTAGGGAAGGAGCAGATTATTATTCAGTGGCAATAAAAAGCCAATTTAGAATCGGCGGGCTCGTCAGTCATTTAGAGGGTCACAGTACAAGGCAAATCGTCGAGTCTATTAAGATGGATGGTGTGGAGAAGGTCTAGCTGCCTTCGCTTGTATGGAAATGGGGCCGTGATAAAACCCTTGGAGAGCGTACCATAATCTGAACTTGCTGAAATGTCACGGACTGCTGATGCAAGCGCCTATGTTGACTTTATATATTTAATTAGCCTGTACAATGGTGTTTCCAATGTGTGGGAGTGTTTACTTGTTCACTTTATTTATGGCCATACAATCTCTGCAAATGGAAAAGCCATTATTTACAATCAGCTTTTGTGAGATTGCATTTGTTGTAAGTGCAAAAGTAAGAGTTGTGTTATTTGCTTGGACTTAAAAGAATTTGCCATCTGGGTCCACCGTGGTGTAATAAATGCGTTCATTAGACAGAATTTATTTGTCATTGCTTTTGCAACAGTTGGTCTATCAGCTGCGGCCTTCATCAGCTACTGTTTTGAAACCCTATCCTTTTTACACTTGCGTTTTCAAGAGCTTCTGAAACTCGAGCTTCAGAGTTGCCAAACAGTGGACAAAAATACCTAATCATTTTAACTGTTACCATATGTACGATGTAGATTCTAAGCCTGCTGCATTGCTTTTCTACAGATCTCTTCAGAAGACAACTAAGTTTGTTCTTAGTTTGGCAATCTGTTTTTTTTATTTTTTTTTATATGTTGTTGCTTAACTCATGCATTGATTGTATCTTGGGGCATCTGTTTCTTCAAATTGATAATCTAAAGTCATTTCCCTTGTTTAAAAAGCCGCAGCTGCTCCAATACTAGACGAAATTATGCTTTAAGATGATTTCATTCCTCCTGGCTGTGTGATACAATTGATGTCGTGTGATTTGCAGTGGGAGGAAGTGAGCATAATGGACGAGAAGAACATTCCTATCCGAACGTACCAAGTCTGCAACGTCCTCGAACCGAGTCAGAACAACTGGCTGAGGACGGACTGGATCCCACGCTCCGGAGCGCAGAGAGTCTACGTGGAGGTCAAGTTCACGTTGAGAGATTGCAACAGCCTGCCTGGAGTCACTGGAACCTGCAAGGTATTCCAGAGCATAAGTGTGGGGAGGAGAACAAGTGGCTCCGGTCTTTCCGCTGCTAAATCACTTCTTTTTTTTTTATCTCTCAGGAGACGTTCAATTTGTACTATCACGAGTCCAACGACGACAAAGAGAGCTACATCAAAGAGAGCAGCTTCACTAAAGTTGACACAGTGGCAGCAGACGAGAGTTTTACGCAGGTAACAACGCACACAGGTTCAGAAATATAGGTGAAAATTGGGAAATTAGAATGTCATCCAGAAGTCCATTTATTTCTGTATTTCTGAAACTAATATATGACAGACTCGGCAAGGCAGGGTAAGTTTATCTGTATAGCACAGTTCATACACAAGGCAACTCAAAGTGCTTAATAAATCATGATAAATCAAGATAAGAAACATTCAAATCAGGCATTGAAATCATACATTAATTTTAAATTATCTCAATATATCTGTATGTAAAAATAACTATTTTGAACCTGATTTCAACATTGGAAGAGAAGAAGCCAGCTGTCTTACATTTTCAGAAAGACTGAAGTTGCATACATTTGTTAAGATGTTGATAATTGGCTCACAGCTTGTAAAAACAAAAATAAAGCATATTTGGAAAAAGGACTGAAAGCCATAATCACCAACATTATAACAAACAAAGGCTTATATATGTCACTTTTCTTGTGTTATCCCACAAGGGAAAATTCTGGTGACTGTCAGGAGCTGATAGAGATAAAATAGACAAGATGCATTTACATATAATCATAAATAGTAAAATTGAATCTACAGATTAAACCCCCTTAAACAGTGTTGATCAGCTGACAGCAGCTTACGTTCCGCTTACGAGGTGGAGCTTGAGAAGGATCGGTTATACGTCCTGATCTCTCTAACCAGGTGCTGGAAGAGCAGCGGTGGACTTCTGGTAGCTCCCATGCCTGTAGCAATAAGGCTATATCACATAATGGTTTCACTGTTTAAGTTGAATTACATAAATATACTCATTTATAAGATTCTTTCTTATTTTCACGTGTATACATCCATGTGTAGTATCCTTACATCCATACATTACTGCACTCCGACATTCCTGGGTGCCACTTACCATTGTTTATTTAGTGGGATTTCTTACATTCAGCCAATTCAAACTACATTTACATTAATAAGCCATTTTACATTGCAGCTGTCAACCTGATGTCTATTTTTGTCCAGGTTGACGTGGGAGATCGCATAATGAAACTGAACACAGAAGTGCGGGACGTAAAAGTCACCACTCGAAAAGGCTTCTATCTCGCCTTCCAAGACGTAGGGGCCTGCATAGCTCTGGTTTCTGTGAGGGTCTTCTTCAAAACGTGTCCTCTCACTGTGAGGAACTTGGCCACCTTCCCCGATACGGTGACCGGAGCGGACACGTCCTCGTTGGTGGAGGTCCGGGGTTCCTGTGTCAACCAATCAGACGAAAGAGACGAGCCCAAGATGTACTGCGGCGCTGATGGAGAGTGGCTGGTGCCCATTGGTGGATGTCTGTGTATCCCGGGTTACGAGGAGAAGAACGGAGTGTGTAAAGGTATGTGTTATTGTCATTTTCAAGTGGTTTTGCTTTGAAACTTTCATCGGCTTAACTACAGACAGTATAAAGATGGACAATGCTTACCCTCTAGCTCAATGAAGCCCAATAGGGAAGAGCTCATGGAAAAAGTGTTACTCTAACTCAGTGACTGTTCAAGCTACACGCACAACTTTGGGGTTAATCTGTGGTTAAATCTGTTATTTAGCGCTGCTGGTGTTTTTAGTTTGATATTGTCTTTATGAATCCAGACCAATCAAATGTCTTAATTCATGTGGGAAACTCCAATTTGCCCTGGATAACAACACGTCTACCCCTGTTACGGTGCATAAAGGAAATTGGCTCCTTACCAAAAAGTGTGTGTTGCAGGTTTGAAAGTTGGGTAACCCAGCTTTAATTACTCAAAGTAGATCGTTAATTTAATTCTGAAAAGATGGCGTGCTTATTAGACACCTTGTCCCTGTTTTTATAATTACAATGTTAGAAAATAGTATGAAGATGTCACAGTCAGCGGTATAAAAACCTCACAGGTCTAAGTAAGGGCTGTTTAACATAACACAAACCATCTGGATTAAAAAAGGCAGCTCCTGTTAACAAATCCAGCATTTTACAGTTACCAAAACGCAAGCTGTTCACACCTTTCACCAACGTACAGTACATGTGGTCGGCATGACGTGTAATGTATGAAAGCTTGTGTGTGTGTGTGTGTGTGTGTGTGTGTGTACAGATATCCAAGCAACAGTTCAGAAAAAGCTAAAGTGAGTTTAATGAAAAGAAAAGAGGCCACATAAGCAAAACATGCACAGATGGACACGGACCAAGCCACAGACAGTTATAAGGGAACAGCTCAGTGATACCCTAATTTATGAGGCTTATCCGGCTGGCTAATTGTATAACAAATAGAGCAATAACTCAAACAGAGAGAACAACACAAGTAAGATGGACATAAAGACTGTTAGTGCCAGTTGGCTTTTCATATTGAAAAAGCACTTTTTCCTTGGAACAGTAGCCAAACCCTGTGATAAACGTCTCGCACAACCTTCACCCTGCCTGTCCCAGTTGTTCCATGTGAAAGAAAAAGGAGGATTTTGGGGTGGTCCCTAAGGTCTGAAAGATGCTTCTCCTCAACTAGATTTAAGAGAGACCCTTGACTCGGCTGAACCTCGAGCAGATGTGAAGTGCCATCTATCTATCGGCCGCTCTGTGTTCTGGCGAGTCTACTCCCGCTGCCTGTCAGGTTGTTGGCCGGGCTCAGCTGCCTCAAATGGAAATCCATCAAACTCCGGATGAATACTGAGGATCCCGCACGATTGGCTGTGTGCCTCAATGCTCCCTCTAGTTTTAAGCTCAAAGTTTGTGTTAAGGACGGAATAGTGCAGGTTGTAGACAGCTCTGAAAGGGTGATGAGATGGGCTGACTGCTTAGAGCTGCTTGGGTCAAAAGGTGTATGGATTGTGTTGACTCATGTGTGATCACTCTGCATTATAGACTTCCCCAGCTGACAGATGGTTGAGCAGAGTATAGCTACTACAAAAATATTGGCATAATAAGTAAGTCATGTTTGACTTCAAGCTCCATATGCTGTTGATATTCTTGTGGTCGTCTTTTCATCAGTTCTTGGGTGTGAGAAGAGAAAGTAGCTGAAATGTTGAGAAGCAAATTAGCAAACTTTTTAAAACACCCTAAAAAAAGTTTTCATTTTGATGCCCTGAAGAATATTGACTACATTTCTTTATAATGGTGAAGTTTGGAAACAGAGAACAGATCCCAAAAGTCTATTTACTTTGTATTTCAACTAACAATGTGAAACTGGCTGATGCCACACACTGAGATATATCAAGCCTTTTCTAGTTTTAATGTTGATAATGGGCTCACAGCTTGTAAAACCCTTAAAGCCATAATCGTCAAAATTATAACAAACAAAGGCTTGTCATACTGTGTTTAAATTGAGTAGGCTATTTTATATTCTTGTCTCTTTGCATGTAATGCATCTATATCATATATTAGTTTCACTTATTAAGTTGAATTACAGAAATAAATTAACTTTGGAACAATATTCCAATACTCCTGAGTTTCACCTCTAGACTAGACTTTAAATATCCTTGCTGGTGGTAAAATATCTTTCACATCACTTTGGCTAATTTTAAGCTCCCACTGAAACCTGAATAGGACCTAAAGCTGACGGGACGAACATGTGTGAACTGTGGAAAGTTCATGTTGAGTGCTGCTGAGGAAGGAGAGGATCAGGCCAGGAGCTCTCCAGAGGAAGATGGGATTTGTTGTTGAATAGAAGAGAGCGGTATGAAAGAAGGCCGCTGACAGCAGAAGGCATCAATGGCCCCCACACCCCTCCCCCGTACAGAGTTCGTCACAGAGTGCAAAGGGGACGAGTGGGGAAACACAAGCAAGGGAACACCCCTCTTTTGGAAAGCTCTGGTTAAAGCCGAGGTCATGACTGTGCCTGATGAAGATGTCAAAAAATGTGAGTGACAGCCCCGCTCTCATATACACCAGGAGTTTAGCCACTGAGTGCAGGGTCACGACCAGCAAAGATGAAGACGTCAAAAGTTTGACAGCTGCGATCCGTCTGGGAGGATCGGAAATGAGGGAGGAGAGACGAAGAGAGAATGAGGAAGAAACAACACTGAAAATTAGAATTGGGAACGGCTGGAGAGGCGGAAAGAAAGCTTTGTATTTGCCCGGCTCTGTGCTGGATGGCTGGGCTGTGTGTTGCTCCTTGGGAGGCCCGGAATGCATATGCGTGCGTGTGTGTGCGCGTCTCCCCGCTCCCCACGTCCAGAGAGATTTCATGGTTGCTCATCTTTCCAATGCACCTGCAGAGCCTCGTCAACCACAGAATGCTTGGATGAGAGGAGTGTATAAAGCAGTGCCACTGATTTTAGGAAGTTAAAAAGAAGTGGACAGATGATAGAATAGGCTGCATAATCACTGCATTCAGCCACTCTAATTATTGCATTTCTGGATGGATGTGTTGGAGAGCTGATTTAGTGTATCTGTGAATTTGTGCCTAACAAAGCCCTTCTTCCCATGTACTCACAGTTTGGAGGGCTGCCCAGGAGTGCCTGGAGATCAGGGGCATACAGAACAGGGAGAGGAGTGTGCATGTGTAAATGTGTAGCAGGTGACAGTGTTGAGAACAACGTGATGGGAATGATCTAGAGAAGCCAAATCCAGGTGGGGGGAAATGGCTTGAATTCCAACTCCCCTTTCAAACTCAGAGCGTTATTGTCTTCTCCTCGCAGGTTATTTTGCACAGCTAGACGCTCTGCCAACTCCTCTTGGTCGTCTGGCAGTGGCAAAACTCACTCCTTTCCTCTCATTATCGCTTTTTTCCCTGATATACGGTTTAGGATAGAGGGGGTGCTTGCTGGTGGCAGGGGTGATCTGTGGCATGGGGAGGGGGGGATCATTGTTACTGAGTGTATTCACATGCTAATACTAGCACTGTTGGCTTAGAGCAGACAAATCCACACTGATTTCACATGAAAACCTCTATATTTACTTATGGATATTCAAATGCAAGCAAATGTCAGGCCTCCCGTTTGTGTGCACATGAGATCAGCATCAAGCTGTGCCAGAATCCCTCGTCTAGTAATTCGTTTAATTGAAGGGAAACATAAAAGATAATGTTCTTTGGCCTTTAGGAATTTTGTGTTTTTAATTAAGAGGGCATGACCCAGGTGATTAACAGTTTCCCTCCTTCTCCAGTGGCAGTCTATCAGTCCGTTTACCCATCCGTCAATCCGTCCCTCCCTCCATCCATCACTCAGGCAGGTGTCACAGTGAGCGGTCAGGGGTACTTCCTCCTGGGCTGTGGGGGACAAGGCCTGATGACAGATAACATCGGGTCAAGGGGAATACACACACACAGCTGCATACAGTAGTGTGGCAACTTTAGCAAGAAACGCAAAGAGCTGCATTTGCATTTTAGCTTCTGAGAAGCTGCATATGCAAATCCTGACAAGGCTGATAGTAATCAAAGGGCACCTTCCCTTCCTTCCTACCATATCTCTCCTATCTATTTGCTTTTTGCTGTCCTCCCCAATCAGCCCACTACTCTGCTCGAGGGCTGATTACACTGTTTGCACAGGATACAGTAGCAAGCAGTAGTTTGTGATGTGAAAGAAGTGCTACCACAGGTAGTATTGTGAAAACTCACCTCATCAGGGGTCAAGGACAAAACACATATTCAAATGTTTATGTAAAAAAAGGAATAATTCTTATTACCTCAAGCTCAACTCTTAAGAACGCCACAGCTGACTTTGACGTCCTGCATTGTTAATATTATCATTTTTTTTACATTTTAGGCATATTTGTTTGTTCTTAGAAATATCAAATAGTCAATTCTCCGCTTAAAACTTCAACAGCTTATATGTTTAAAGACGTTATCAGTATTTGTGCCCATAATCAGGCTCTAGAACAGCCCCCAGTCGAGTAGTAGGGTTAATGTTGGGTTAATGACAGCATCATGAGCTCTTATTCCAGGTCAGCACTCGGCTCTCGCTCTTGTGAAGCTCTGCTCTCACACACAAAAGCTGGAGGACAACAGGCCCAATAGAGACATGAGTAGCTGCTGAGGGAAGTTTATGGCTTCAAATACAGGGCTTCTTTCATTCTTTCAGTTCTCTGTATTGAAAAGGAGTGGTTGAGGCTGAGACAAAAGGCTGTGTCCAACCCCCTGTGACAACCTCCTTGTAATAAGCCGCCAAGTGGGAATCACTTTCAAAATGTTTAAGACTACAAAAGCAAATGCAATGTGTAAAACCGACAAAAACGCACTTCAGAATATATTTCTAGACAATCTCAACGTCCGCCATTTTGTCAATCCAAACTGTACTTTAATAGTTTAATTTTTTAATTTCTCGTCGCTATTAATTTATGGCTTTTTTTAAACAACAGAAACACTTGCAAACATATACACAGGTCTAAGATAGGCTGTCTGTGTTAAAATAGAAATACTTTTAGTCACAGTTGTCAAATCAAATATCTCAGTAGTACAGTAATTGTATTATCACGAAATAAATGCCCTAAGGCTACGCTAACACGTATGATAATGAGACCGATAATGAGACGTGTGTTATCTTATCAGCTGCTGGAGTTCTCACTGGAGTCATTGTACATTCCCTCAAAAACTCCATCGCTATCATTCCTGTCACAAGAGCGCTTAAGTCGAAGGCCAAAGTAGAAACAGCGTTGACTGTGAGTGAATATTGTGAAAAGAACTGAGTGTGTGTGCGTGCGTGTGTGTGCGTATGTGTCTATGTATGTGTGTGTGTGTGTGTGTGTGTGTGAGAAAGAGCGAATGCATGTGTACGAGTGCAGATGGGGCAGGATGGTCGGTGAGAGGAGATTACAGAGGAACCACTTCCGCCCTCTCATCTGCTCACAAGTGTCATAAAGCATACACACACACACACACACACACACACACACACATAGACACACACGCACACACATTCCAACCCGCTCCTCCTACTGGGAAGTCTCCATCTCCTTGGGTCTGTCTGTGAAAAGGGGGGGGAGAACTGTGGATTGGCTGAATTGGTGGAAGCAAGAATGACTGAATAGCATGTGATGATGAAAAGAAGGTACTGAAGAAAATGATTGCACGGGAAAAACAAACGCAGGATTTCCAAGTGAATACAAGGGAGGAAAACGTCTCCAACCAGCCAAGCTCCCGTGCTTCTCCAGGGGATGTCAAGCTGTATAATTATGCTCTCATTTATCATATTGTTGTTCTGTCAATGCATAACTGGTTGGTACACAGAGAGAAGCCTCCTCTCTCTTCCCTGCGCTCTCATCTCCTCCACTGCTCTTCTCATTCCGTATATTGAAATGTCATTTATATTTGTGTGGGCTGTCTGCGCTGGAGTTGTTAATATATTCTCCTCTTATGTTTTCTGTAATAAGTGCGGGGGGGGCTAAGTGTTTCTTGCAAAATATAAGAAAAAAAAGTTCCTCAATAAGCTAATAGAGTGGATAGGTTTCCCCTGAACATGTTGCTTTTTTGTTGCAGGGCGACAGTAGCTCAGTTGGTAGAGCATTGGCCTTTGGGCCTGAAGGTCGTGGGTTCGAGCCCACCGTAAGACCTACTTCACGACTCCCACTGATGACTGCTGTCGTTGTGTCCTTGGGCAAGACACTTAACCCTACTTTGCCCAAAGCCCCCACTGAAAGATCTCAGCTCCTGTGGACTCACCACCTGCAGGAGGATCAGTGAGGGGCTGGTGCTCTGTGGACTGGGTGCAGCTCTGACTGCCATCCCCCCGACCCAGAAATGGATTAAGGGGAAGAAAATGGATGGATGGATGGATGTTGCTTTTTTTGTTGATTAACTTGTTGTCTGCCAGGATCAATAAAGGTCAGGGATCAGGCGACTGGTCTCTTTTGACCTTTTGAACCATGTCTGCAGGGTGAACTTAAATATTCAGGCTAATAATGTCGTTGGTAATTGTACCTCCCCTTTGGAAAAACCTCAACAGTAAGGAGAGAAGGCTCTACGTTCAACATTTTTGGAGATGCATTTCCTTTTTGCATACCTGGAATTTGAGATGTGATGATGAATAAGTCAATTCCTGGGCGTCATTTTTTTTACTGTGGTCTTGTGTGCAATAGTTTTAAAAGGATAATTTATTGCAATATACCAGTGTTTTTCATGCTTTAAAAATGCATACTTTTTCTAGTGTTTTAAGTACCTGTTCATCAATAATGGCTTTACTTGTCCAAATGTAATGTTGTAGTGGAGAGGCTATAACATATAATTGATCACGACCTCTCTAGTTCCTTTGTCAACCAGATGCTGAAAAAAGGTTTACAATTTTCGTTTATCAAGCACTTTGGTGGTCCTCTGTTCCGTATGAGAACATTAGCATGTCAACTGTTCTCGTAAAATGGTGTTATTACTGGCCATAAAACCTTTTATTATGGAAAAGGGCAATTAATCCCAGCACAGGTAATTGTCAAGGATCACCCCAGTGTTGACAAAGCCTCTTGTTTGTGTCTGCTTGCAGCCTGCCCCGTCGGCTTCTACAAGGCAAAATCTTCGGACGTAGGATGCGCCAAATGCCCTCCCCACAGTTACTCTCTCAAAGAAGGGACAGCTGTTTGCGAATGCCACTCTGGGTTCTACCGTGCCGACTCGGACCCTCCTGCTATGGCCTGTACCCGTAAGTAAACACACTTTTTCTTGCACACGCCTGTTCAAAAACAATTCCTCACGTGAAAGGCCTGCATGCGGACAGACTGAAAACCCATTGTGTAGTTTGCTGCTACCAAATAGAGGAACGCACAACCCTGTCTGAATGTTGCTGCTGTTTTGTGAACCTATTACCTATGACTAAGCTGCCATCCACATCCTATTGAGTGAACAGAGCAGGCATACAGAGTGAAAAGGTCCTGTGTAGCAGACTGGGAGGCCTCAGAATGTGTGTCGTAAACTTAATTATCCCTAAATATGGCGCATGGGTTTTTTTGGCCCTGGGAAAAAAAACATACATAAGCACTGTAGAGAAATACCAGGGAGCAAAGCATCCAACACATCAAAAACCATTTCAATAAGATTCCAGATGTCTACAATTTAACCTCAGCCAAAACTCACCACAGGCCTTTGATATAATTGTACATACAGGAAGTGGACTATAACGACTGCTCCTATTCTTTACACAGAGCCGCCATCCGCTCCGCAGCAGTTGATCTCTGTGGTGAACAAGACTTCGGTCGTCCTGGAGTGGAGCCCCCCTCGCCGCTTGGGGGGCCGCAGTGACACCAGCTACAATGTGGAATGCCTCATCTGTCAAAGCTCCAAAGGGAACAAAATGCTGTCCAGGAATCACAACGTGTCCCAGCCCGAGGCGCAGAGAAATGGCCTGGGGATGCAGTCAGATCAAGGCTTTGTGGGATCGAATTTACATCCAGGGAGAGGCATCTACCAGAGTGGAGACTATTCCAAGCCCGACACAGACTCTGGGTCCCAGTTGTGCTTACCCTGCGATTCCGATGTCATCTTTTCCCCCGGACAGAATCGCTTGATGTCTACAAGGGTGTTGGTCAGCGAGCTTCGGGCCCACACACACTACACTTTCATTGTACAGGCGAGAAATGGGGTCTCCCAAAGCAGCGGCGCAGGAACGACCCAGAGCGTGTCTGTGACGGTCACCACAAACCAAGCCGGTGAGATAAATGCGTTTGTCTTCTCTATTGTGCAAAATGTGCTTAAAATCATATGTGGGTCAGCATAGCGGCATCTGCTCAGTCCTCATGGGTCCACTGGGAAGCAGGTCCTTGTGGGTGTATGACGTGTTGGAAGCATGAGGTGGATAGAAGAAGATTTTCTTTTGCTTTAGGCCTTTGGATTTGAGTTGGGCTCTAATTAACCATTATTTTGATCCATCAATTAGTTAACTTTCTTTTGACAAAAACAAAGTGAGACCATCTTCATAGAGATGACTTGTTTCACATTGGGATTGGGTATCGGCAGCCATCACATCAGAGTAACAAAGGAATAACTTATAACAGAGACATAGGGTCAGTTTGGCCCTCAGGCGTTCTCACATTTGTTTACTTGTAATTGCTAACCGGTGCTCTTAATCAATTACAGTCCGAGCCTTCAGTGTAATGACAACCAAATAAAATTTGCTTTGCAAATGTAGATCCGCCATTGTATTTTTGCTTTTATTAGAAATCCCGGAACTTGAAACACTAGCTCCTAATCAAACCATCAGTCTGTCACTGCTCTGTCCTCCTACACATTACAAATGCTGAATTAATTATATGGATGCTCACTGGAGGCTGTCAAAGAGGAGAGATGTAAATCACTGAATGCAAATACAGTGGGTAGAGAAAAGCAGGTTTGTCAAAAAATGATTAGACGTAACTTCACTTGACATGCAATATTAATGAAAGCATGTACAGTGTGACTCAGGCGTTCACCCCTGGAAAAGTCTCTCCGTTTTTATGATGTGTTTCATTTTAGCTGCACAGGTGACATGGTGTGTGTAAGCTTGTCACATACGCTCTCCATTAGTTCCAAGGGGTGCTGTGTTCACATGCTGCTGCTACATCTCAACTGTCATTGTACCAAAGCATTAACAGTGTCGATTAGATGCCTGAGCACCTGCTTAGGTTCAGTTGCCCCCGGGAAATAACTTCATGCTCAGCACCAAAGTGTGTCTGGCATATATCAAGTCCAAGCTGCACTGCCATATGGCCCAGTATCACATAACAGTTGCAAAAGAGGACAAAATGCAATGAAGGACCCAAAACTGTGGCAGACGAGACTTCAGTGAAGGTCCCTATTGTGGAGTGTGGAAGATGAGATGTAGGTCAGCTCACAGCTACAGTGGGTCACTGGGAATGTTGACAAACAGGACATGGACTCTGGATACAGCTGCGAGTCATAACTGCAGAAGTACAGTATATAGTAGAGTTTTACTAAGTGCATTCTTGTCTCTGTCAGCTCCCTCTCCTGTAACATTCGTCCAAGCCACCGAAGTCACCAGACACAGTTTGTCGTTGGCATGGCAACAACCAGAACGACCCAACGGGGTCATTCTCGAATACGAGATCAAGTTCTATGAAAAGGTGAGGCGGACATAGTAAATATATTGATTTCACTGATGCTTGTGATGCATTTGCAATCAGGTTCCAACTCCAGTGCCTTTTGTCTCGTCTAATCAGGATCAGAAAGAGAGGTCCTACCGCATAATGAGGACTTTCTCCCAGATTGTGGATGTGGCCGGCCTCAGCCCGCTCACGGTCTATGTGTTTCATGTGCGTGCCCGCACGGCAGCGGGATATGGGGACTTCAGCACGCCCTTTGAATTCTCCACTAATTCAGGTATTTTCAATACACAAGAGAGAATAAACACTTATCTACAAAGAACCTTTTGCTTTGAGATGTCATTTCTGCAGCCTGTTAGTGTTGTATCTTTATTATGGACAGTGGTGCATTTCGGCTTCTCATTACTGCTTTTCTCTCAGATCCTTTCCCTCTGATTGGAGAAGGGGTGAACTCAGCCTTCCTGCTGCTGTCAATCAGCGGCCTTGGGATTTTACTCCTGATATCCGCAGCTGTCTTCATCATTACCCGCAGGTACACACCTACACTCTCATTATTCCCTGTATGTTAGCTTTCCACACTTGCTGACTCTTTCCCATCATGCAATCTGAGCAAACCGGTGATGTCAATAATATGCATTTCTTCTGCTAAGCTGCCATTATGCATCAAAATAATATGAGTGTTACCTGGAGCTTTTAAAGGGGATTAGAGTGGAGACAGTGCTAATCCCTTTGTCCCTGACTTGTCATTACTGTCTCTTCAGCAGTGGGGTTTGTGTGTCCTGTTCTCAGCAGACGTGCACGCTCACATGCACAGACACACAAAGCTTCACACACACCTGCTCCACCACAAAGGTGTTTGTGACAGTTTCTTTGTTTAATGGAAAACACCTTTCATCTCCTGCTACCTGAGGCCTTGCCCCTCCTCCTGCTCGTCCCTCAGTGCTTTCATCTGCTCGCTCAGCTTTCCTCTGTTGTCATTGTCATTATTTTGAATTACTGGAAACCACAATAAAACACAAAGGACACAATCGTTTATGGGCTTTTATTGTCCAAATCGACTGCATAATCCCAATACATAATCCCATACCAGAGTTCACTTTACTTAATCTATTTTAAGGGCCATCGTTAATACTGATGTCATTATTTCTCACCAGGAGGAGTAAATACGGCAAAACCAAACAAGATTCTGAAGAAGAGAAACATCTTAATCCAGGTATAACACATATTCTGTCCGTGTTTCTTTGTCCTCCACCTGCACACAAATGGCAAGAACATTTGCATAACACACGCGCATCATTATACAACTAATATTTCTCACTAATCCGCCCACCTTTCCTCCTCCTCGTCTTCAGGAGTGAAAATCTACATAGACCCATTCACCTACGAAGATCCTGATCAGGCCATCCATGAGTTTGCCAAAGAGATTGATGTCAACAGTATCCACATCGAGAGAGTTATTGGCATGGGTAAGGCTGGCTCCAGTGCGCAGACCCACTCACACACACTGGGCACGCACTCACACGGATGTACTCTTCATGTGTGTAGGAGAGTTTGGAGAGGTGTGCAGCGGCCGACTGCGTTTACAAGGGAAGAGGGAGAGCTACGTGGCCATCAAGAGCCTCAAAGCAGGGTACTCCGACAAGCAGAGGCGGGACTTCCTGGCAGAGGCGTCAATCATGGGCCAGTTTGACCATCCCAACATCATCAGACTGGAGGGAGTTGTAACCAGATGTAAGATAGACCACAAGCTGACAGGCACAGACTACAGACTATAGAGCAGTCCTTTTCCCAGACCTAATTGTATCATTTATTTATTGTAGGTAAGCCACTAATGATCATCACAGAATACATGGAAAACGGATCATTGGACGCTTTTCTTCGAGTAAGTTCTTGTTTCTGTTCTTTGTGAAAATTGGCTTCTTCATTTTCCTGACACACTTGTTGTTTGTGCAGAAACACGATGGTCAGTTCACAGTGATCCAGCTGGTGGGCATGCTGCGGGGCATCGCCTCGGGGATGAAGTATCTGTCAGACATGAGCTACGTGCACAGAGACCTGGCGGCGCGCAACATCCTGGTCAACAGTAACCTGGTGTGTAAAGTGTCCGACTTCGGCCTCAGCAGAGTTCTGGAGGACAACCCAAACACAGCTTATTCCACCAGGGTATGAGTTTATATTCAAATGCAGGATGTTTTAGTGGTCTGCTGTGTCCACATTAACTAATAGGTTTTAACATTTCCTTGTGAAAGGGGTCAATAAAAATCATTATTTATGGTGTCTGTTTAATGCTTTAGGAGGCCACTGGGACTTACCTTTCCCCTGGAGGAAAGATCCCCATCAGATGGACTGCCCCAGAGGCTATAGCCTACAGGAAGTTCTCCACAGCCAGTGATGTATGGAGCTATGGCATTGTCATGTGGGAAGTGGTGTCGTATGGAGAAAGGCCTTATTGGGACATGAACAACCAAGACGTAAGTATGGCTGCCTGAAAGCCGTCCTTTTCTCCATGGAACACACTGACACAGGGGGTATTGTTTACTATAAAGCCACTTTTCATATAAATCATCATCACATAAACTTATTATTAGATTATCTTAACTGCTGTAATTACCTTTAATTGAAGAGGCATGATTAAAAGGATCATGTATGATATTTCAGAATTTTCAAATAACTGCAATCCTGCTGTCTTGTTGTAGCAGCACAACCTAAGTGTACATTTAACAACCCTCGCGGCCACTTGATTGTCATGAACGCATATTTATAAACTTGAGTATGTGTAAGAAGAGAGAAGCAAAGAGGATGATAGGTGGGTTCAATAACCCGAATATCATCCTCTTTTCCACATTTCATACATATGTGCTATGTGTGTGCATTATACGTTTTGGTTTAATGTACAATTAAATTTAAGAGCAAATTTTCAATCACTCCTCTATTGAAGCTGGTTGAAGTGAGTCAAAGAGCCTTTGTGGCAAATGGAAATGCCTGCAGTGTGATTCATCTCATTAACGGCCTGCTTTATCTAAGGAGCTTGTGGTTGGACATAGGAATAAAGTTGTAATTATTCAGTAAAACATTTGTTGATTAATTATTCTAGTCTGTCTGTCGTTTTCTGGATCATTTAAATATTCATCACACTAGTCTTCATAGTGGCTGCTCGCAAAGTTAACCTTTAGAGTTTTTTTGTGTGAAACCAGTGAGAGGTGGATCCTTTAAATGTTATACGTGATTGTGTTACTGAAATCAATAGCATAAATAATTAAGAGAAAAACATTAATGTTAGGACCCAAATGTTACGCCAGGAGCTCATGTCGCAAATCTTCTACTTTACAAATCTGTCATTATCACGCAGATATGAAATAATATAAAATAATGTGTTGTCAGCTGTTCTACATTATGTGATCTTAACCCCTTCACTGTCCACAGGTCATCAAAGCTATGGAGGAGGGCTATCGTCTTCCAGCGCCGATGGACTGTCCCGTCGTGCTGCACCAGCTCATGTTGGACTGTTGGGAGAAGGAGCGCGCAGAGAGACCCACCTTCAGCCAGATCCTAAACATGCTCGACAAACTCATCCGTAACCCAGGAACCCTGCGGCGCACCGGGGGAGACAGGTGTGTGGCTGTACTTCTATAAAAGCATTTATCAATTTCTCTGACAAATTAACCACTTCTCTTTTACCATCACAGACCCTCAGCCGCCATTTTGGAAACAGATCTTGGCACCGACATGTGTGTGTCAGTCATACCTGACGGGTGCTTACAAGAGTGGTCAGTGTGCGAGTGGCTCCAGTCCATCGGTCTGGATCGCTACAGGGACACACTGGCAGCCGCAGGGTACACCAGCCTGGACAGCCTTCTCACACTCACACACCAGTAAGTAACTATCAAATCCCCTTCTCTTTCAAGTCTACAATTATCTCATCATTTATTCAATTTAACTTATCTATTTATTTCTTCATCAACAAATTCATAAACAATATAATAACACAAATACATAGTTGGCCAATTAAAGTTGTCATAAGATAAGATTTCCCATGTGATATTAATGAAATGATGCTTCTACAGGGAGTTGGAAAGACTTGGAATCATCACACCTTCACATCAGGACATATTACTGGCTCGAGTGCAACAGGAAATGTTTTCCCAAATGGAACACATGCAACACACGATGGTTCCAGTCTGAGCTTCTGGAATCACTGGAGAACAATTTCATTTTACCTCATCCATGCACTTTAGAGGAACTTTTTGAAAACTGTTGGATTACATTGACTGAAGTACATACTACGAGACAGAATTTGAAGCCGCACTTTTGTTTACTTCTTCTGTGGAGGACAGAACATTTCTGCAGATAACTTTCAGCTACTGAGGGTTTTACACTCGAATGTTTATGATGACATTTTGTTTGATGTTTTTGAAGGCTGACATGTAAGCCTGTGCAGACGCTGTTTGGCTTCAGATTCTTTCATTTGCTGCTTTGGGCTGGACTTGAAGAAAATGTGCGTCTCTGTGTGTGAGCGTGTGACTGTGACTGTGTGTGTGTGTGTGTGTGTGTGTGTGTGTCATGTGTGATTGAACGATAGGTCCCTTTTAAGATGTCAGAATCTTGATTATGCAAAGTTCCCAGAAAGATGGGAGGAGCTGTGCCGAATGTATTCCTACCACTTAACATGGACACCACTAATAACCTAAATGAAAAGTGTCTTTTATTTGAGTGTTTTAGAAATAGATTAGAAAAATGTCTTTTGTGTCCAAGCCTTTGTCTGATGCTAATATTTAGCTTCAAGGAACATTTTGTTTATTTATTGCCTTTTTTATCTAGTTTGTAAAATGTACATTAGTATTGAGGAACAATTGTAATCATTGCCATATTGCATTGCAATAAATGAGAACTGTATTACAAGTATTTTAATTGGATTGGACCTGTGTTAGCTATTTGATTTAATTGCTGTGGATAAAGGCATTCAATTCTCTATTTAAGTGTGGCAGGAGAATGTGTTCTGGGAGATTTGAGACAGACGCCTTGACAGGGAAAACAAGTCCGGAGAGAAGCGCCAGTTAAAACTCTGCTGGTGTTAGATCACAACGTGTGAACGCTGGGCCAGACACGAATGAAGGGAGACTTTGAGGAAGACAGAAAGTGGAATAAAAAAGTATAGAATCCTCAGTAAGCTGTCATAGCGAGCCTCTTCTGCGTTCTGTTTTCTCCTTTTCTAAATTGGGCTGAGTGTGCAGTGCATATTTTGTTGAATCAGCAAACATCTGTCTTCCCCAACCAATATTCCAGCACACAAACACACACCCAGGGGAGCATCTTTGATACATGAACCAAATGGAGATATGATTCCAGCAGAAATGTCAGTGTGTTTTTCTCCAGCCTAATGAGCACTGCCTTCAAGCACAATCACTCCCTTCCTCATTCACTTCACTACATTCGAATCACACAGCACAAACACAAACGCTGATGGGGTTTAATGAGCCACTTCTGTCTGAGCAACAAAAAGAGAAGGACTCTGGACTCCAGCAATCAAAACTGCAGCAAGGCGCTGACACCACACTTGGCAGGTAGCCTTTGTGACAGTGCCTCAAACAGAATTGGCATAAAATATGGAATTTGAATGATTGCTTTCAATTACCACAAGTAAATGTTCTCAGTCCTGAATAACTAAGTGCTTATACTGTGGAAATGTACTGTTATTTTTGTGTTTTATCTTTGAATGTCAATTCAAGGGGAAACATCAAGGGGAAAAGAACTGTGCCTTGTGGGATCCCTCATTTTTAGTTTTTAACAATCCGTTTCCTTGTTTCTGTCTTTACATATAGACAAGGTATCGGACTATGCACGTGATAAGGTCCTGCAGAGATGTTGCAACAGCTGAAGGAATCATTTAACAGGATGAAAAGGACACAGTTTAGGTCTTGAATCCACATTGACTCATGCTAGTTTGAGCACCAGTAATTTTAACCTTAAAAGACACTCTTGTTGTATAGAGCAGGGGTAAATCAAATTCAATCTCTCTGTCTCGGCGTCTCAGTGGGAGGCAATTGTGTGTTTTGTGTCCAGATTAGGGTGGGCATACAGAAGGCTAATCCCGGCCCGCTCTTCCTTGTGGGAGTGGCAGCGGGGTGTCTTTGGTGCGCGGCCGGCCGTGAGCTGAAGGCTGTGAGACTCAGGCCTGCACACGGGCAGCTCTCTGCGCGGATGGAGCGCCACATCACGGAGGTGCCCCTGGTTCAGGATTAGAGCCTGAACCTCTGAGGGTGACGGAGTGCTACAGGCATTCCCACGCTAACATGAACAGGACAGCACTGGGTGCAGTGTTTTACAACCCTAGTGGTGGTGGTGGTGGGGGGAAGTGGTTTGGATGGTGTGTGGAAAACAAAAAATAACATCTGAAAAAGACAATGGTAATAATGATAATAATCTCATCTCCAGATAAGCAAGATACAATAACCTGACAGAACATTTTACATTTTTATTTTGTATAACATAACAATGACTTGTAATGAAGGCAGGCCAAAAACTGTTGCCAGGTACCGTACTGGTCTGTCGTCTATGCCCTTGTTAATGTTAATGATAATAACAACAAACGTTTTATATAATATTAATAATAATAATAATAATAATACATTTAATACATTTTGCACTGTACATTCAGTACACACAAGGAATCCTATGATAGATGCATAAAATCCAAATAAAAACAACACACACAAGTATTGACACATAAGAAACTAAGGCACTTATACCTTAAAACAGACTAACAGGCCTTTTTAAAATGGGGTTTCTGGTTGTCTTTAACCACCTAAACACTCCCTCAGAAACTCTTGGAGGGCGTTCCAGAGACGAGGGGAAATTGCCTCTAAAGCCCTAGCTCCTGTGGAGAGCCTAGCCAAGGGTGTATGAGGAAGTGGACTGTGAGCGCCTGGAGGTGGTGTGTGGGCATCTGTACGCTATTGCTATACAGAACACTGTATACTGTATTCTGTCATGGATGTCCCATCCAATGAAGGGACTGGAGGACAGGGGAGATGTGTTCATATGTGCCTCCCTGTCAGATCCTGGCCCCGACAGTTCTGATTGTGCTGGAGCTTGGACCACAAGGTTCTGACCAGGATCCTATGTACTGGAAGGACACTTTTTAGAGGTGGTGGTGGATCTGGTTCTCAAATGAAAGATAAGGATCAAATGTGACCTTTGTAATGAAGGGAAAGGTATTTTGTGGCCTGAGACAAGAATATTGGAAATGGCAGACTGACAGAAGTGAGGCTGCCAATTCCTCCTGACCAATCATTCATGCACACATCCCACTCATACTGGGCACTATGGGTGAAATCTCTTGGTAGTACACCACAACTGTTTGGCATATTTCAACTGTCTGAAATAAGTTTGGGTTGACATTGATGGTTGACTTTGTTTGTAACTGACTACTTTTGGGAAAATGTGAAGTAGCTATATAATGGAGAGATACAGCATAGAGCGGGTGTTTGGAGAGGAGCAGCTGTCCGAGTTGGCCGGTCTGTCCCTGTCGTTATTGTGTCCAGTCATTCGTGTCTTGGCACAGTCCCCCTGCTGCTGCTGGACAGGTAGCATCTGACACACATTACGCCACTATTAATGTCTTCTGCTCAGCCATTACCACACACACAAACAGCCCCAGGCCATGCATTCTGCCGAGCAAAGCATCTCGTGTGATACAAAGATGAAAACGCAAGAGACTTTTGGAGAAAATAACAAAAATAATGCATTTGTTTTTTTAGGGCTTTTTGGGCACACAAAGACACTTAACATGTCCTTATTCTTTCCCTCCATATATGGTTGTGATACACTACTACTGTAGCCACAGCTGCCCTGGGGCACATTGACAGAAGCGATGCAACCAGTGTGTGCCATCGACCCCTCCGAAACCCACCAACCAAATGCACAACCACCAGATTCATTCTAGGCAATTTGAGTGAAGTGTCTTACCTTCACTCACATGACTTTTGTGAACGTGTCAATGATACATTATCTGAGTAACTAGTATTTGGAGCTTGTTCTATCTCCAAGTACAGAAAGGACACAGTGATAGTTTGGCACTTTACAGCCATAGCCGCCCCACTGTGGCAACTGATGTTCCCAGCGGGTTCCCATCACAGTACTAAGTAAGTAAGTAAAATGTATTTGTATAACGCGTTTCACAGACCAGGATCACAAAGCGCTTCACATTTAAAACATGCCGCTAAAAATAATACAAAGAACAAGTCAGATTTAAAAACAAAGACACTGAAGACGGCCCTCATCATGAACACCGATCACAGAGGCCTATGTACAGTGACGAGAGAAAGCCTGTCTGAATAAACATGTCTTTAGTTGGGACTTGAAATCATCAACAGACTAACAGAGGGTCTAGCGCAGAGGCTGGGGAAGCTCATTTCAAAGATGAGGAGCAAAAGCCTGGAAGGATCTGTCTCCTCGGGTTTTAAAACAAGTGCGGGGATCATCTATAGGTTCTGAGTGGAGGACCTCAGGCTCCTGTTAACCTACTAACCAGGCCTTGTCCTGCTTAGCTTCAGGGGTCTGACAGCATCTGACTATCACATGCAGGTATGGCCACTACTAAAAGAAAAGATCTGTCACATCTGAGACGCAAAATGAAATGTGAGGTCTATTTCTAAAAAGAGGCACTTCTGGTTTGAGGACAAGCCTATGTTAGAAATTGGATGCACCACGGAAATGTACTTCTATCTATCTATTCTATCTGAACAAGCTCTGAATAATCAAATTAATTTATTCTTGACACGTTCACAAGAGTAAAGACAAACATAATTAAAATCAAATTAAACATAACCTGCCATACCTTCATACTGTCACAGAACATGCCATAATAAGTCTGTCTGGACGCAGCTGTTAGTGCTTGTGCTTCACAGTAAGAAGGTCCAGCATTTGACTCCACCTCCAGGAGCTTTTGATTGGAGTTTGCATGTTCTCTCCGTGTTTGCATAGGTTATATCCGGGTGCTCCGATTTCTCCTACCCCTCAAAATATGTTCAATAAGTATGATTGTAATTAGAGCGAGAATTGACTGTAAATGAGGAATGAATGATTGTAAATTACTAGAACTGTGAAGCTGTAAAGTTCTTTGTGTGTCTTTGGTCTATGAAATGTTATGATATAATAATAATGATGATAATAATGATAATGATAATGATAATAACAATAATAAAGAATAATAACAATGATACATATTATTTATAGTGCACTTTCCATTATTGGGAACTATAATTGTGAAACACATTAGGATATTAGAGAAGACATTCTGTATTTCCTAATCCTATTACATCGGACAATAAAAAAGTCGAAGAGCCTTAAAAGAAAAATGTCATTGAAAGTGCCATGACTTGAATTCTGAAGACTTCATTTTCTACCTTTGTCCGTCTTATTTTCTAATCCAATTGAATACAAAGTTGAGCGTGTAGACATCTTTTGTTTGGGTGAAATTATCAGTGTGGTTGGGGGCCCTTATCATCTCTGCTGGACTGCGGGTCTCATCCTATTGTTGGTGTTTTGAGGATTTGGAGTCTGCTGGTATGTCTGTCTGCTTTAAGAGGTGCCTATGAGGAGATTGGGGTGTGGCCACAGGACCCCCCACATCAGGTCTTTGTGGAGAAGAATCCCTCAGGAATACCATCGCGATTAACATTAATCCTACAAGTCTGTGCGCAAACAACACAAGCACGTCTGAAATCTCCCGACTCAGCCAAAGCAAATACCTGGACCCACTGGCAATTTGTCTCTACATGATTCAGGATAAGAGCATAATGATAATGTCTCAAAGCGAGTGGACTCACACGATTTAAAGCTGTGGATAATTTAACGCAGTAGAAACTTTTAGAATTAGATAATCGTATATACATTAACGCCTCAGATTCAAAATATATGGAGCAAAAACAGAGCCTTGGGGGACTCCCTATTTCATGCTTATGAATTTAATCTGATGTGATTTTGAGGAATGAAGTTTCATACACTAGGCAGCACAAAGGGTGGAAGCATTATAACCATATGGTGCTTGGTCTCCGACATACCAGCGACCACAACAATTGTACAGTCAAGAGGACAGCTGCTTGAAAAAGGGAATAAACAAAAACAGTGTTGTGATACATTTGAGAATATCTCAAATCATTGTCCGAGCCAGCAATGAAGACGGAACCTCAGATAACATCTCCTTAAAGCGAATCTTATTAAAGTACACTTGTCCCAGCAGATCCCACAGAGCACTGTTCCTGCCAATCCATGTGTGGGGTCGAACCAGAATAATATTTGTGAAAAGATCAGGTAGAAGAGGGAATAATCCTTACATTCTGAATAAACACATTGAGGAGGAAGCAGTCGTTACTGGTTAATGTGACAAACATGACTCATGACTAACCCCAGAGACTTGTGTGTATGTTCATGTGTGTGTGTGTGTGTGTGTGTGTGTGTGTGTGTGTGTGTGTGTGTGTGTGTGTGTGTGTGTGTGTGTGAGTGTGTGTGTGTGTGTGTGTGTGTGTGTGTGTGTGTGTGTGTGTGTGTGTGCGTGTGTGCGTGTGTGCGTGTGTGCGTGTGTGTGTGTGTGTGTGTGTGCGTGTGTGTGTGTGTGCGTGAGTGTGTGTGCGTGCGTGTGTGTGTGCGTGAGTGTGTGTGTGTGTGTGTGCGTGCGTGTGGGTGCGTGCGTGTGCGTGAGTGTGTGTGTATGTTCATGTGTGTGTGTGTGTGCGTGAGTGCGTCTGCGTTTAAATATTGTCATTCTTAATTGTTCCAAAAAAATGTTTTATCAGTATATCATATTACACTTATAATAATATAATAATATTAGCACTATATAAGCACTATTTTGTGAGGTTATTTTTGTTGCTAGATTATACAACAGATGCACTGATTTACACTATAGAGTTATAAATAATAATATGTACAAAACAAACAAACAATGCTTTCAGATCGTATGGTCAGTATTTCCAATCAGGCTTTTATAGACAGGTTTGTATAGTTCATTCAAAGTACAATGAATACTTTCACTTTCTGTACATAATGATTATTATTAAATATACCTATTGCTTACCTTTCTATTGTTCTTCATTGGCTCAAACATAGAGCGAAGTATTCAACAAAAACAGTTTATCTATGGTGGCTTGATCTGTGTTAATTAAATGTTCTATTCTGCTTAAAGGAATGCCAGGAGAGTGAAGGAGACGGATTAAAACGAGATGAGCAGAGAAAGTCTTGTC